TAGATTAGAAAAACTCACTAGAATTGATTATGTTACCAGCAATAACTCTTAAACCAAAATTTCCATGGCCCTATGCGGCATGAAGAGGAATAAGAAAAATTTACGGAAGAAGGATAAGTGAAATTTAATGGAATTGTGAGGCTAAAATTTATAAATCTGGTAAATTTTAACAATCATTCCTTCATCTCCTTATACGAACTAGGGTGGTTGGAACTATTTTTCGAAGCCAATTTAACCTGAATAATGACAACAGAATCCGATGTCTTTATGACTGGATTCCAGTAGGCTAATCCAGATAATCAGAAAGCATTTATAAGTTTTATGTTATCTAATTGTTGGAAGTAATCAATTAAGGTTACATACCTGACAGACGTCTTTATCATGATCACTCATCAGTTCTGTGTCTAGATCAAATCTTACTACAGGTGTTACTTTCGAAACGCTTATTCGAATCGGATAGATGAGACTATACTCTTCAGCGCAAGTAGAATTCGAGATGAAATTGGCAGAAATATAAATAAAATATGAATAAATTAGGCAAAGTGTTGTAATAGTAAACTATTGATTTAAAGAGAAGATATGGTGTAGACAAACCTGCTGCATCAGCTTAGCCGCCTCCAAATATCGCCCACCACGACGCTCCAACTCAACAGCCTGCATCCCCCGGTTTTGGCTTAGCAACCGATCCACAGCCTGCTCCTGGAGACGATCAACACGCGCCTGCTGTGCTATACGTAATCCAGAACTCGGCGTCGGACAAGCGCCAACAGCCGGTCGACGCACGACATCAAGCGCCGTCTGCCACTGATTTAACTTTACGCATATATCGGTGGCCTCTTGGAGTCGGTTGCACTTAAACATGCATATAAAGAACATGTTAATTCGAGGGGTCCCTAAATCCTATCTTCTCTTGGGCATAGGTCATATGCTATGCCGAATTTTTTTCAGCTTCATATCATTATTCCAAACATCAGCCAGCATAAAGTTTATACAGTTAAGCAAGATCCCAACAATTATACGTCAGCCATAAGACCATATTTCGAAATGGTTTATTCTGATTAAGCAATTGAGATTATTGAAGATATGAAGACCAAGATGGTGTGGTCCCAGTCTCCTTTCGCAACTTGGTCATATTGGCAGGAAGACCTAGAGGAACAAACCTTGTCTGGAGTCCATGGCATGCATAATAATTTTAGGTCTGAATGTGGACTCGGTACATTCCCAGACGTCAAGACTCGTCAAAGAGACAAGTAAAGTCGATCCTTTGACCAATTGTGTGCTAAACATTTGTGGTATCTCTCCTGCCCAAGGCTATTCACCTATCCTATATCCTCGTATCACCCTTTTAATATAGCAATTTCTTAATTTTTATCTAAACTTATTTGAAACCTATTCAAACTCCCCGCTGGTTTCCATATCCCTTC